TAAATGCTATTTCAGATGCAGATTCCAAAAATGTTTTCTTATGTTGGAATGAAAGACACTAAGTACCAGATGAAGTGCTTCTTATTCCTACCCAAAAATACAAAATGGAAGAAAGAGTTAAAACTGAACACAATCTTGCTACTCAAGCTGTGTATGAACATTTTTTTATATATATTTATTTGCTTCTTTTCCATTTTGCTTTTACTTTTACTTTCAATACTTAAGTATGTTTAAGATAACAAAAAAATACTTTTCGTACTTAAGTACAATAAATATCACATACTTTAAGACTTTTACTCAAGTAATATTCTAAACGGTGTCTTCAACTTCTACCAAAGTAATTTTCTTGTAAGATATCTGTACTTTTACTTGAGTATGGCTTTCAGGTACTTTATACACCACTGCATAGATACATAAAACACCACCCACTAACAACACATACACAACACATGAACATGCACAGGAACACATATTACGTGGATCTGAATCATTCACTTTCTCGGTTTAGTATCATCAAAATAGACACTAGATTCAGTATATACCATGGTCATGTGGACTTACGGGACGAGAGCTTCCTGTATGTTCCCCCACACCTGTTTACCCACCATCACGATCACTAACTGAGTGGTTAACTCAATCAAACAGCCGCCTGGCTCACACTGAAAACACAATTATGATGATCAGAAATAAACCGATCTAATAAGTATAATATTAAACGATAATGTATATTTTCATGAATGCATTTTACTATTATCCTTAAAGGGTTAGTTCACCCAAAAATGAAAATTAGGCTGTGTTTTACTCACCCCCGATGCATCCTAGGTGTATATGACTTTCTTCTTTCAGACGAATCCAGTCGGAGTTATATTAAAAATTGTCCTGGCTCTTCCAAGCTCTATCATTGCAGTCAGCGGGTATTGCATGCTTCTGTCCAAAAGAAGTGAAATAAAAAAGTGCCCGTCCATAAAAAAAAAGTGTCTCACATGTCTCCGGGGGGTGAACAAAGGCCTCCTGTAGCGAATCGATGCGTTTTTGTGAGAAAATATCCATATTCAAAACGTAATAATCACTTTAATGCCGGTGAGTCTCGTGAAAACCAACGTTTGTTTACAGGAGCAAAGGAAGCAAAGTCTTCTCTTGGCTTATATCGAAATCCTCCCAACATTCTTCTTTACAAATCCTCGTTTTGTACTTCTAATAAGTGACTGTTGTTTTGTTTTGATCTCTCCGCTGCATTTCAGCGTGCATCACTTCTGAGCGGCGCATGCGCAAAGCCGACCTCCATAGGTCATCCACCCGGAACTGCTTCCGTGTACAACAGTGAGCGCAAGCTACATTAAAGTGATTATTACGTTTTGAATATGGATATTTTTCTAACAAAAACGCATCGATCCGCTACAGGAGGCCTTTGTTCACCCCCCGGAGACATGTGAGACACTTTTTATGGATGGGCGCTTTTTATTTCACTTCTTTTGAACTGAAGACAGCTTGGAATAGCCAGGACAATTTTTAATATAACTCCGACTGGATTCGTCTGAAAGAAGAAAGTCATATACACCGAGGATGCCTCGGGGGTGAGTAAAACAGCCTAATTTTCATTTTTGGGTGAACTAACCCTTTAAACTCTATACTCAATTAATATAAATTAGAGATCCATTGACAACAACAAATGCATAACAAAGGTTTAAAAAGTAAATAATGGCATGGAGAAGAAAAAGAACAATACAACTTTAAAAACAGGCTCATGGGATCTCAGGTCTACCTCTTCATTTCTCCACTTGCCAAACATGTAGGCATAGTCTCCAGGGTAGCCCACAAATTTGCCCTTAAAAAAGGCGACGTAGAAGCAAGAGGAATAGTAGTTGACAAACTGGAAGAGGAACATCTTCACCGTTAGCTTGTTCTCGTACTCCACATGGGTTTTGGGAACCTCTGCGGACAGAAGAACAAGTGAATAAAAATCAGTGCACAAAAATCTTTACATTACGGAAATACTTTACTAACTGAATATACAATTGTTTCTCTTATTGTTTATTACAAGATACAGAACACAAAATGAATGGACTGGAACAAATCAGAAAATAGAAAGTGGTCAAATAAATGCAATAAATAAAAAAAATGTAAAAAGTTTTAAAACAGAAACCAACAACAACAATAACAAACAATAATCTAATATAGTTTTTTTAGGTGTTGTATTTATTGAAACGTTACATTTGAAATGTTTTTAAAGGTTTTAGGTGGAAAAAAAAGAGGCTGGGAGTCCGATATACTTGTAAAGACTCACCCATATCAGTGATCTTTATGGCTACACGCTCATACAGGAAGTTCAGAATCATGATGATGACAAAGTTGATGCAGGAAGCCGTGACGGATGTGGCTAACTGCGGCGTGATAAGGGATCCAACCACATCCAGCTTATTGGTGGGGCTGTCCTTCATAATGCTGGCAAACGCCGCAAACACCGCCAGACGGTACGCAATCACACCGATTATACTGGCGATAATCAGTGAGATCTGGGTTTGGGAGTGAGAGAGGTACACGTCATACACACACACACACACACACACACAAAACGCACGCGCTGCAGTTACTTTTACTAACTCAATACTACTCAATTATCCATGCAAAAATATTGTTAAAAAAGAAAAACTAAATTATGAACATGCAGTGCTTGCTAGGACACGTCAAAACAGTAAAATGCTACATGATGCTGGTAAAAACATGCATCCTCAGGCAAAATGTTCTACAGCAAACATCAGATTTACTGATTTAACTTACTTACTGCTGTGTGATTCTGTGTCCATACAGTCCAGCGACTTATTAACATTCGATATTGAGTCTTACCCATATCATGCAATAACCTATCTATAACCTATACATATAAAAAACACTCCTCACGCAAAGTTTACAGGAGATTTGATTCACATTTGATTTCAAATGTATTTGATATTAGCATGTTGCTAAGCTAACAACTCTAATAAGAATGAAAGTACATAGCAAGTGCAAATATTGAGTAAACAGTTTGCTGCTACATAATTTTCTAGATATATTTCGGTATTAATAACATACTCGTATATGATGTCCTAAGCTGTCATATGTAGGCAGCTCACTAACCATTGGAACAGAGCTAATATATTCAGTGGGGGTCAAAAATCTGAGACTACTAGTGAAAACCGAAACAGAAACAGAATTTCTTGTATTTGGTGTGCCTTCCTTTTGCTTTAATGGCTAGAGCTAAACAAAACCTCAAGTTATCCAGCATGATTTGAAAATGCTTCAAAGTTCCAGAGAGCATTAAACAAATTTGCTTTTTGATTATTGAAGAAAGGTGCAGAATCTTAAATATATATTTTTTTTTGTTCACAATATCATAACATGTATTGTGTTTAAATATCTGAAAACTTCGAAGTTTCCAAGTTTAATTCAATTTTGAATCCCAGTTTTTCATTGTTGTCTAGGACCTTTGGACCCCACTGTATTTTTGTACATCGCTGGCATTATGTGCTAATATAAAAGGTGCTTATAACAATTTGACATAATTTGTTCTTCAATATATATATATATAATTATTATACTGAAAGTAACAGACAGTTTTGATGCTCACCCAAAAGAGGACGGTGGCCCCGGACAGTACTGAACGAGCACACTTGCTTGTTAGAGGTAAATAAGGCTCCATCTCCTACACAGCAAGCAAGCAAAGCAGGGATCATGAGCAACCACCACCACACACCTAATCTAGCACTGTCCACATGGCTCTCTTCCTGTTTATAACGAGTCATTAAGTCTACGTCTACAGTCTTTCAAAGCTGCGATCACACTGCAAGCAGGCTGCTAATGCTACACACTCTCACACACACAGCAATCCGATCTACAGTATCGTCGTCCTGTGCCTGCCTTACCCACAAAACAACAGTGGCCCAGCACAGGATAAACCTGCCTGCTTTATCAGCTGGGCTCTGGTCTAGAACCCACTCCTGTTCCTACACAATACAAACAAAGCCAACCAAACATGCAGATTATCTAGTTTCTCTGCTGGTTGGTGGATAAACTAACCTTGACTACCGTTTGTGACATGGCAACACCTAAAGTGACTTTGTAGCTTCATATTCTGCCTATTGTCTGTCAAATTATACTATTAAGACCTCAGAGTTTTACAAACCTAATATACTCAAGCCTAATATATGTGACCCTGGACCACAAAACCAGTCATAAGGGTACATTTGTTGAATTTTTTCTGAATAAATAAGCTTTCCATTGATGTTTGGTTTGTTAGGATAGGACAATATTTGGTCGAGATACAACTATTTGAAAATCTGGAATCTGAG